GGTTGTTGTTGCTGCTGGCTAGGCGTAGAACTTCCGGGAGAATCCATCACGCTAAAAAACAAACGTACAAGGAAAGAACCAACAAACACCTTAAGAAAATAATAAATTTGACCATGGCTGACGCACATTTAAGAATTTATCGCGCATAAAATCTAAGTAAATAGTCGTAAATCATAATGAAACTTTATGTAGTGCCAAAGGAAAGATTTGCAAAGCCACCTGGAAAAGGTAAAGAGCCAAACTGAGGATAATCGACCTTGAACTCTGAACATCTCAGCTAGTGGACATCTTCGAAATCAGTTCAGACCTTATGCGGAGATCAATGGAGGACTGAAACTATTGATAAATACATTCTGAAGATGTCGTTAGACTCTGAAAAGGAAAAGAGATATGGGAAGGATGGAATGTGATTAGATGAAAACAGACTGCCGGAAGTTTTTCTTCAACTCAGACTTACTGTACAAAATTAAACATTCCTCCAGTGCTTCATCATTAACTGGGCAAGATCGATAGTGCGACTGCACTCTACTAGAAGTGCGGCTGTACGAACATTAGCCGACGAAGATATAACAGCGGAAATACTTTAAATCGTAGGTAGGCGGGTGAGCACTGTATCGATTTCACTGAACCCCTTCAACTGCGTTGCATTCTGCTAACTGTAGGGTCAAAGTTAGCCGGAGTGATCAACACTGCTGTAGCCGCGTTATTTTATTGCAGTATGGTCATATGGTATTCACAGGTTACCAGAGCACCTGCAATACACTATGCCGGTGTAAAATCTTTAATTTTGTCGGTCCATTTTCAGTTTTGATCACACGAGGGTTGAGACAGATGTTCCGAAAAGGTTAATTAAAAGAAAGAATAGATTAGCAAAATGAATAGCATATCGGTTTTTACAATATAATATATGACGACTTCAAAATTTGCTTGTCCAATATTACTGGAGAGATCAAGAATAAAATGTCAAGCCCAAACAACATATCTCAAAAGATAAGTACATTTGTCGAGACGAGGACTGGTGTGACGCATCACATAAAACAAAATTTCCACCTTTTCCTTACAAAACGGTTGCGAACAATTACCAGCAGAATATGCTCCATTCATGAGACAGTTAATCGTCATGGCAAAACTACTAAACAACAACGCGTACTGAAAACCCGTTTTAGTTCATTTAATTTACTTCAAGCAATCTTTCGGCTGTCAACAAATGTTCATGGTCTACCAGCAAAAGCTAGTTGTTGCTACCCCCACTCACTATAACATATACAGCTCGCTTTACCGGATTCGCAAGACGCAATAAATCGCATATATAACATGTGAGAGCCATATTTAATATATTTTTACCGCCCAAGCTCATAATGGTATGCACTGAAACTGACTCCAGGTCAATGCAAATTGGTAAAACGTCAGTTTTATTCCATTATCATTAAGCCTACTCTACGCCTAAGCCTGTGTGTCTTCTTCATGTTTAAAATTTACGACGTGACCACCCGTACGTTGAAGTTTAGGCAGCAGTGCGGTATCAACGACACATCATCGATCAGAACAGAATAGCAAATTAGTTTCATCAGTCCATACCGACATGGAATGATTACTCGTCTGAACTGCAACACATACATAAAAAATGGGAGCACGATCTCCGAAGCCACTAGACGCATGGGGACAGACTATTAGGCCGTGAGAAACAACAGAAAAGCAATTAACGTAATTTTCCGGTTCGTCGGGTCAATCAAGTTCAACACACAAATAAACACTTACAGAGCAAAACGTAAAGTAAATCTTCACGTCAATAATTAATCATTAAGAACAGAAACGACAATCGTTAGGCTCACAGCAAAACCAACGCCATATTATTTCTATACATTACAATTCAGCTGCTTAATACATTCGTCACATGATACAAGAATTAGCTACAGGTATCAGAACTGGAAATTAAACGCACGAGTTGGAAGTTTTCCTGTTTTTCCTCGGAATTTACTCAACATGTTAGTTGCAATACATCACTGTTATTGGTTACAAGCAAGAAAGCTTACATTTCGTATCGATGAGTTTAGGACCTAAGACGTTATATATACCTGAAAATCGTTAATACCGTATAGCTGCGCCAGTAAATGAATACCCAATTTGTCAAATAACGGTTAACTATGAAACATGTTTTCTTCCTTCCAAAAA